CAACTGTTTACTTTATCAAATGTATTGCTAGATGTTCTAGGTATTAAAGTGAGAAATAAGAGTCTAATAATTATTCTTGAACGCAAACCACCTTCATGTCTGTAAATGCTGAGGAGTGTACCAGGCGGATAAGGAAAATAAATAGCTGCCTTCAATGTCTTGCAAGTCCCACACCGAATATTGTCTCTCTCTTAGGGATTTCAACCTTCCAGATATGAAATGGAAGATGGTGAATCACAGCTCTGTGTGAGAAATAGTTCGTGGAAGCACGCTAGATCAACAGGTGAATGCCGAAGTGCTAATGTAGCTTTGTGAAAAGTTGACTTTAAGTCAGCAGATAATTGTACTCATTGGAAGGGAAAATACACTATGTTTGATATTCAGGAACGACGACTAACTCATCAGATGTACAGTCTTAAATGCGATATTCTCTGATCATATCATTATTGGAATACAAACCTGGATAAAATCAGGGATGGAAAACTCTGGCTATGATGTACGAGAAGAAATGTTTAGCAAATTTAATCTCAATCAGAGAACTGACTGGAATAAAATTAACTAAGAACTAACAGACATATCTTGGGAAACAGTCATAAGCACCGTAAACCCTCACCAGTGCTTAGAAAAGCTGAAAGCAGAAATATCCAGTCTACATTAAATATGTACGACTAAGAAAAACCAAGAACTACCTGTGGAATTGGACCATCAATCACAGTAGGTTGGTACATTGATGATGAAAAATGAGTAAAATTCTAAAAGCAGATTTTTCTTCATACCCCAGAAGGCGACACATCATATAGCATTAATCATGCAGAATTCAGAAAACAAATAGAAAATATGCCCTCTTATGCAGCGCCTGGACTGGATACATAAAATTCCTTAGCGAAAGTGAAGGGTAAACTACCACTAGCACGAGCACTGAATATCCTTTGGAGAAAGATGTAGTAGAATCCCAAGGAGCTTAAAAAGTGTAGACGTTGCTCCTAGCCAAAAATCACAGACTTGTAGTCCGAACATCACACATCATAACAGTCTCTGAAACGCCTAGTTACAAATTTCATGGGACAGCACATGCATAACTCAAACCATATGGATATGGAGTTGGAAAATCGTGCCTGTCTCGACTACTAAACTACTACGATAGAATTATAGAGGTGGTGGAAGAAAACTATAGCGTAGATTTGTTGCATACGGATTTTGCTAAGGTTTATGACAAAGGCAATCATAGTGATTGCACACAAAATATGGGTAATAAGTTAAGGTGAAAAAGTAGGCAAATGGATATTCAATTTTCTTAAAGAACACAAAAGTGGTAGTTAACAGAGAAAAATTAGTAAAGTAAATAGATCAGTTCCCCAAGGTACAATGTTGGTGCCTTCACTGCTTAACGAAACTCCAAAGTTTTTTTCACATTATACGTCACCTAGTTTATATCTATGAGGGTTATTCTTATTATTTGCACTTATCTACAATGAAGTTTTTTTTTGCATTCTATATGGTTAAGTTCCGTATTATTTAGTTTATAAGTGCTAGGGTTATTAACATTTGAGCTTTAGGATATTTCATATATCTGAATTGAATTGCATCTTTCACTTTTCTGACCACGACATGAGCTTGTCTAAATCTTCCTGTAGACAGCGAATTCTCAAGCAGATGCAAAGCAAGTTTTCGAGTGGACCTCAGGTATCAATATGTTCAGCGAAGACAACTCTCAGTTGCTCCATGATGGAAAAGTGTAGGAAATAAAAACTGAAATAAAGTACAAGAGAAACTCAAATCATTCATTTGAGTGAATATTCAATGCGCGAGACTTGGGAGTGATTGTGTCAGAAGTAATACATTCAAGGATCACAACAATGTTGCTATTTCCTCCACAAGGAAAATGATAGGCTAGATAAATAAAACTTTCAAGACAAGAAATCCTGAGCAAATGATGATTCTCTTCCAGTCACTTGTTCTCTCCAGCCTGGAACATTGTTGTATACAAATGGCCCCTTGCAAAGCAGGTGAGATCACTGAGCTAGAAAACGTATAGAGAATATTTACTTCCCATATACATCCTAAATCTGCACTAATGGGAACACTTGAAGCCCCTTCAACTGTTTTTTTCCTCAAAAGAAGCTTTGCTTGATTTTTAAGAAATATATCTTTAAAAGCGCCAATTTTATTAATCAGATTACTCTGTGAAATAACTGGAGAATGACTCTTTTGATCAGAAAAATATCGGTGTTCGATTATATTGGGTTATCCTAGATTAAATCTGCATAATGTACTTGTATGTATACCTGGAGATACTTGGAGAGGGTTTCGGGGTTTACTGCCCCCGCCGCCCGGTCTGTTACCAGGGCCTGATCAACAAGGCTGTTACTGCTGGCCGCACGTAAACCGACGTACGAATTACAGCCCGGCTGGTCGGTTACTGACTTTAGGTGCCTGTCCATCGCCTTCTTGACGACAGCCACGGATCTATTGGTAATCCCCCTTATGTATGTTGAACAGTCTTGGGCCCCTGACACTTATTGTGTTGTCTCATAGCGTACTCGTGGCTCCTGCTTTTATTTAAGGGATGTTGCACCGCCTGCGCAGCCCTTTGCTTTCGTAGGGAGTGATTTTCGTGTACAAATTTGGTACTAATCTTTCTAGAATTTTCAAGGTGTATATTATGATATCTCTCTCCCCTGGGTTCCAGAGAATACAAATCAAGATTATGTGCCTATAACATTTTGGCTTCAGAGATCATTATACAAAACTGTTTTGAAAACAAAGATTGAATATAAATTACTTTTTTAATTTCTTAATTAATTAATTAGTTACTTAAAAGATGGTCAGTCTTACTAAAAAGGTTGGACTGATTCTGGCCTGTGTATGTACCAGTTTTTTTTTTTTCTTAAAGCAAGAAATCTGATGTGATTAAGTAAGTAAGTAAGTTTATTCAGGTATACACAAATACAGTTACATAGAATTATCATACATAGCAGCATATGTGTAGAGAACCTAGGATAACCCAAAAAAGTCAGACAGAGTGACTTATTTCCATTGTGGTCCTTTAATTTCCGACTATCTTCAGCGCTTAAGGGCTGATAATAATGCAACTTCTGAACGGTTTCAAGGTTAACGTGTTCATGTATTTTAGAATGCTGGTCTCTTTGGTAAGTTTGAATTAGATATGGGCTGCGTATGTCCTTATTTACAATTTTTCTTTTAGAAATTTGGGTAACTTTGTGGTTGGTACAGTACGTGTCCGTGGGTGAGACGGAATGTACTGCTCCACCCTCCGTGACACGCAGTTATTTATGTGTACTTGTCGGTACAAATCTATGTCTGGGAATATAGAGACATTACTAGATTTGAGTTTATAATCTTATTCTCACTTATTTGTATATATGTTATTACATTGTTCATATTCCTGAGTCTTTTCATATAATTTACCAGTCGGTACTTGAGAATCTTAATTATTGAAGGTATACCAGTATACATATATAGCAAGAGAAGTGTCGAGCTTGCCTTCTTATTTATGTCAAATATTTTAATTCTGTATATAAACTCCTCTAGACAACTGTAATAGTAAAGATCTTAAATTTTATTTTATTGTTTTGTGTTCAATCAGTTGGCATCCTTATTAATATTGAAGAGGGTTATAGAGAAGCCTGGATAACTGAAATAGAATATAATCCAACCTCTTGTTACGGAACCAGAAACAGGCCAGCAGCTTAAAGGGGACCAATTAGTTAACCCTCTATCTTGCTCTGGAGACGTCTGTTGTAGAAGACGCTTTTTGAAACTTCATATACTGCAACAGTTATTTGGTTGATGTGCGCTTCAGATGTGCTCGGTATTATGCTTACCCCAAGATCCTTTTCCTTGAGTGAGGTTTTCAGTCTTTGGCCTCCCTAGACTGTACACCGTTTGCGGTCTTTTTTGCCCTTCCCCGATCATCATGACTTTGCACTTAGTGGGGTTAAATTCTAGGAACCAGTTGCTGGACCAGGCTTGCAGCCTGTCCAGATCCCTTTGTAGTCCTTCCTGATCCTCATCTGATTGAATTCTTTTCATTAGCTTCACATCGTCTTCAAACAAAGACACTTCTGAGTGTCTCCCTTCCGTCATGTCATTCACATATACCAGAAACAGCAACAGTCCTAAGACCGACCCCTGGACCTACTTTGGAACCCCGCTCGTCATAGGTGCCCAGTCTGACACCTCGTTACGTACCATGACTTGCTGTTGCCTCTCTGTCATATATTCTCTGATCCATTGCAGTGCATTCCCTGTTATATCTGCCTGGTCCTCCAACTATTGCACTAATCTTATGTATGGAGCTGTGTCGAAAGCCTCCTTACAGTCCATGAAAATGCTGTCTACCTACCCCTTTTTCTTGCCATACCGCAATCACCTTGTCATAGAAGTCCAGTAGGTTTGTGACACAGGATTTCCCTTCCCTGAAACCGTGCTGGTTGTCGTGAAATAGCTCATTCCTTTCTATGTGCTCAACCATTCTTCTCCTGATAATCTTCTCCATGACTTTCCATGGTCTGTAGTTTAGCGCTGCGTTTGTCTCCTTTCTTAAAACTTGGGACTATATTTGCTGTCTTCCACACCTCAGGTAGTCGCACTGTTTTGATAAATGTGTTGAAGATTGTTGCTAATGGAACATAAAGCGCCTCTTCTACCTTTCTGAGGACCCACGGAGAGATGTCCGGCCCCATCGCCTTAGAGGTATTAAGGTCACTTAGCAGCTTCTTCACCTCCTCCTCGGTTGTAAGTATTGTGTCCAGCAACTGTGTGTGGAGGGGCGGGGGTATCGACTTTAAACCTAGAATGCATTTAATCTATCTGTTCCAAACCCGCCATAACGGTGTTTCTTACCCCTTATTCCCATTCTTACATTTACTATATTGTGAGATGTACTATGCCACCACTACATGCCTACAACATCTCCATTAAAATCTCAACCTCGTTCCAAGTTCTCAGTCACCAGTTTTGGTCTTTACTGCTTGCAGAATCACGCTCCCTGGGCGGTTCCACGAGCTTAACATCCACTACGGTGTCTTCCTAGGAGGAATGGGTGACTTTAAAGAGGTCTTCCTTGGACTTCTTGACGACTTCCGCGGCTGTATGGACCAGGTGAGTACAACACTGTCCTTCACATACCATCAGTACAATGGTGTTCACAATAATACAGCTATGTGCAATATGAAGGAATATTATTCACTATTGATTGGTAATAGGTTAGTTAATAATGACTATATTTTTATTAATATAATAAAGGTATATAACAACGACAAGTTGTTAAGACACATGTGCAATCGTTTGGTCTCTTTATTCCGAAACGTTTCGCCTACACAGTAGGCTTCTTCAGTCGCAAATCGAGGAGGCATCAAAGGCAGTAGAGATATAAAGACGATGTAATCATTCCATCACGCTCCAAGACGTAGTTTTGAAGTGATCAGACCTTCAAACCGGAAAAGATTTCTGCTCTAGAGTCTAGAACAATGTGAAGCTGAAGCAAGAGAATGGAGACTCGTATACTGTCAAGGTGAGGCAGAGAAAATCTTGATGACAGAAGAGGCGGGACTAACTAGTGGAAGTAAGAATATAAATCAGTGGGGGGAAAATGAGAGGAATTGTAGAACACCAACAGGGTAGGAGAAATGTGTCCCAGTGAAGATAAGTAAATATTGCACATGTATATAATCATAAATAACAAAAAGGCACAATACCGTGACTGGAACGATACACAAATAACCCGCTTCTCTCGTAAGCTTCTCTCTTTTATGTGCGGGTTATTTGTGTATATAATCATCCTGTCGGTGTTGTATTCCATTATAACATTCACACTGTCAGACACTGCAGCACAACGGTATCTTGGTACAGAGGATATTTTCGACATCTTTACTGTCTGACCATTAGTTAGGAGTGAGAAGGGTTGGATTTGAGAGGGACCTACCCAGCAGGTGTGCTACGCTGCCTGTCAGTGATTACTTTTTTATTTCGTCTAGAAAGACTCCGCCTCTTTTGTCATCAAGATTTTTTCCTCCTAACCTGGACAGTATATAAGTCTCCATTCAGTTGCCTCGGATTCACATTATTACAGATTATGGAGCAGAACTCTTCTTCAGGCTGAGGGACTGACCACCTAAAAACTACGTGAGTGAGGACTGATTACCTCGTCTTTACATCTCTGCTACTTATGTTGTCTCCTCTGCATTCGACTAAAGAATCCTACTGTGTAGGCGAAACGTTTCGGTATAAAGATACCTAACTGTTGCACATGTGTCTCACTTATCACCATGTTATTTCATTGTAAAACAAAGTCCAGTAATAGTTAAAAACAACAGTTTAGAAAAGAGGCAGCAAATAGCTATTTATTCTTTAAGAAGCATCGAGATGCCAGTGAGAGTCTTAATTTAAAGGATCAGAATTATCCTGCCCTCAATTTCTCCCGTTTCCAAGACTCTACATGATCATATAACAGATTTACTGCTTTCACTTTATATGTTCAGGAAGAGGCAAAAAACAAAAAAAAAAATCAACTGCAATTACTTTTAAACATCCAGATACCTTTACCTGGAGACCTGGAGTTTACCTGGAGAGAGTTTCGGGGGTCAACGCCCCCGCGGCCCGGTCTGTGACCAGGCCTCCTTTAAGTGCCACTTGTTACATTAAAGTTCGGGGAGTGCTGGAGACTCAATTCTCGGTACGATATGCAGAAACACAAGCTTGAACAAGGCCATCTCTCGTTAGCATATTTTTTTTGACCAGTGGCATCTTACACTGCCCATCTGTGATAGAAATAATGGCAGTACAGCTTGAGAAATATTTTTGTTTTTTTTAAACGAACACATCAAATAAATAACTATAAAAGTTTCCAAGTGGTGAAATCACTCTAAATCATCTCGACTAATTTAAATAAAATAATGAAACTAAGAGAAATTCCAGAGAAACTCAAGTTGTTTAAATGAGCAGAGAGAAAAACGAATGTTAAAGACAGTGACTATAACATGTTTAGCTAAGTATGTTATAGAACTGATCACTTAGAAAAATACCCTTAAACACAAAATATTCATAATGAAAAATCTAGTATTGAAATAATGTGGTCAGGCACATCAAATGTTGACCAAAACAGTGATGAAAATACACAACGAAATCATAGTCCAGTCCAGCACTGATAAGAGACGGAAGCAGTCCAGCACTGATAAGAGACGGAAGCATCCAGCACTGATAAGAGACGGAAGCATTTCCCGCACTGAATAAAGAAAGGAAGCAGTCCGCACTGATAAGAGACGGAAGCAGTCCAGCACTGATAAGAGACGGAAGCAGTCCAGCACTGATAAGAGACGGAAGCAGTCCAGCACTGATAAGAGACGGAAGCAGTCCAGCACTGATAAGAGACGGAAGCAGTCCAGCACTGTTAAGAGACGGAAGCAGTCCAGCACTGATAAGAGACGGAAGCAGTCCAGCATGATAAGAGACGGAAGCAGTCCAGCACTGATAAGAGACGGAAAACAGTCCAGCACTGATAAGAGACGGAAGCAGTCCACACTTTATAAGAGACGGAAGCAGTCCAGCACTGATAAGAGACGGAAGCAGTCCCCCCACTGATAAGAGACGGAAGCAGTCCACCACTGTTAAGAGACGGAAGCATCCACCACTGATAAGAGACCCGGGAAACAGTCCAGCACTGATAAGAGACGGAAGCAGTCCAGCACTGATAAGAGACGGAAGCAGTCCAGCACTGATAAGAACGGAAGCAGTCCACCACTGTTAAGAGACGGAAGCAGTCCAGCACTCATAAGGACGGAAAGCAGTCCAGCACTGTTAAGAGACGGAAGCAGTCCAACTGTTTAAAAGACGGAAGCAAATCCACCACTGTTAAGAGACGGAAGCATCCACCACTGTTAAGAGCGGAAGCATCCAGCACTGTTAAGAGACGAAGCAGTCCAGCACTGATAAGAGACGGAAGCAGTCCAGCCTGATAAAGACGGAAGCAGTCCAGCACTGTTAAGAGACGGAAGCAGTCCAGCACTGTTAAGAGACGGAAGCAGTCCAGCACTGATAAGAGACGGGAAACAGTCCACACTGATAAGAGACGGAAGCAGTCCACACTGATAAAGAGGAAGCAGTCCAGCAAATGATAAGAGACGGAAGCAGTCCAGCACTGTTAAGAGACGGAAGCAGTCCAGCACTGATAAGAGGACGGAAGCAGTCCAGCACTGATAAGAGACGGAAGCAGTCCAGCACTGATAAGAGACGGAAGCAGTCCAGCACTGATAAGAGACGGAAGCAGTCCAGCACTGATAAGAGACGGAAGCAGTCCAGCACAGATAAGAGACGGAAGCAGTCCACCACTGATAAGAGACGGAAGCAGTCCCAGCACTGATAAGAGACGGAAGCAGTCCAGCACTGATAAGAGACGGAAGCAGTCCAGCACTGTTAAGAGACGGAAGCAGTCCAGCACTGTTTTAAAAGACGGAAGCAGTCCAGCACTGTTAAGAGACGGAAGCAGTCCAGCACTGTTAAGAGACGGAAGCAGTCCAGCACTGATAAGAGACGGAAGCAGTCCAGCACTGTTAAGAGACGGAAGCAGTCCACCACTGATAAGAGACGGAAGCAGTCCAGCACTGTTAAGAGACGGAAGCAGTCCACCACTGTTAAGAGACGGAAGCAGTCCAGCACTGATAAGAGACGGAAGCAGTCCAGCACTGATAAGAGACGGAATAAGTCCAGCATCAGTACCCGAGCAACACATCAGTTGATTAACGATAACAGACATTTGGAAAATAACATTGATACCTGATATGGAGAATGTTACTGAAGACTTACACGAACAACATGGAAAACAACGCCAGGTACTTTGTAAATTTCTGCGATGGGTTTATATATTACAGGTCTAGTGGCAGTTATATACACCTGTGCAGTATTATAGTGCTGCTGGTCTTAACTAATGATGATTAATAATTAATAGTTACAGTGCTGTTAAACTTAATGATGATTAACAATTAATAATTCAGTAAAGTGAATAATTTAATATTAATAAAGTGTTTAATTTAAGAACAATACACTGACCGACGGACTACGTGATCTATACAGGTTTAAGCTGCGATCAACAATTTAATAACAGATATACCATAAGAATAAAATTTCAGTAAGAAAATGTATAATTCAGTCAGTGAACATCAACATATGAATACGTAATAAATCAACCTGGTTCGTGGTTGATGATCTGCCTCGTACATACAATGAACCTAACCCGAATGGAGCTCCGTTTTTCTGGTATAAAATCTTTCTTCTTTGTATTGGACTGAGGAAATCTAAATATTGCACAAATATTGCCCAAATGGATTTGTAAATCATTTACATCACACTCGTACGTGTACGTGTCAAGACCTGATGAATGACGACGTTATTCCCACGTGGTGATTGACCTTATAATACCTAAATTATGGCTATCAGGTCCAGAATATAAATGGTCAGTTTACCCCAGTTTCTGTGGTGTCACTCATGAGTGTCTGTCTTATTGCGGAATAAGGAATTGGAATTGGTCAGGAATATTCTCCCGATATTAAGCAACGGTATAATTCAGTATTATTTTATCATGACTCACGAAATCGTAATGACACGATTGCAAACAAACCATACCCCGGCCGGGATTGAACCCGCGGTCACAGAGTCTCAAAACTCCAGACCGTCGCGTTAGCCACTAGACCAGCTAGCTGGAGATTTGTCTGTAAAAACTTGCATTTGTGGTCACAGTGGTGCCTATGCTAACCTTCCTGTGGTGTAGAAATATACCTAGTTGGACGAATCTTATTGTGGCTAGCTGGTCTAGTGGCTAACGCGACGGCCTGGAGTTTTGAGACTCTGTGACTGCGGGTTCAATCCCGGCCGGGGTATGGTTTGTTTGCAATCGTGTCATTACGATTTCATGAGTCATGTTGACGGCAGTGAGGGGACTTGAGCTAGAGTTCGTCATGGCCACGCTAGCTGGAGATTTGTCTGTAAAAACTTGCATTTGTGGCCACAGTGGTGCCTATGCTAACCTTCCTGTGGTGTAGAAATATACCTAGTTGAACGAATCTTATTGTGGCTAGCTGGTCTAGTGGCTAACGCGACGGTCTGGAGTT